TTAATAGTATACTAATTTTCTTCAATTTATTAAAGTCTGATAAATCTCATGATTAAATATACTCTATGGTAAGTACCGTATAGAACATTATTTGGATGTAATTCTTGCGATTGTGATATCTTTAAAACCGTGTTTATCTCCTTTTTTAAATTCTTTAGTGATCTCAATCGGGAACGAATAAACATTGTTTTAACAACGTCCCAATCGTCTTATATAAGTCAATGCCCTTGGACTTTCCTCATTGCCACCGTTCCAGCACCTTTGAATTAAGTCAGCATACAATTTTGGTGTATTCTGTACAATTTCAGGTCTTTTTCTTGAACAAATTTGATACGTTAAAAAGCAATCATGTTCAATGTCACCAAAATGAGTTAATCTAGATGTGACTTCCCATATAAGAATTCCGAAGATATATATATCAGCCGCTTTTGTATAAAGTTGATTATACCAATTCGCAAGACCTCTAGTGCAATATAATTTAATATACCAAACACTCCATCATTGCCATCTTTGGTGAAGTCGCCCGGCCAAGATCACCAATTACGAATCGATGGTCCTCACCACAGCTTAGACTTCTATTTATATTCCTTGGCACATCACATTTCTGCTATGTAAATCACGATGCACGAGTTCAGACTCATGAATCTGATAAATGTCAGTAGCTATGTCATAAAGAATCTCGTAGAAAAATTTTCTTCAAATATTTAGACAAGTCTCTCTATAGTCTGTTAATGTCATAAACCTTTGATTTGGGATCACGAGTCATGCTATAAGTGTGTAAAGTGGCAAAGCGATCTGATCCTAGCTGTTAAACGCTAGATGAGATTTGAGCTATCCAAAAATTAGAAAAAAAAGTTTTATAAAATAGTATTAAAAGGTATTACTTAAATATAATATAACGTAAACCAGACCCAAAAAATAAGATCACTAGTAATATCTTCTTTTTTCAAATTCGACAAACTCTTCAAAGTGACGTCAACGTTCGGATATCTTTCCCAATCTTTTCGGTGTTCCATTTTGTCCTCGGTCCATCAACCCAATTTGTAGAAAACACATCACAAAATCCACCTTTAGTTATAAATTCAATATTAGTTAATGCGGAGTAAGGAATCCACTCTAAGAAACTAAATTTTGTGGTAGCTGAAAGTTGTGTGTCTTGTATAAAGGTATCAACAATTTCGTTTTCGCTAGCCCACTTATTAAAATTAGATTTAAATTTTCGTGTTTACATGGTTCACACCATTCGTCAAAAAGTTTCTGACGATCTCATTTAGAACAGTAACAAGGTTCAAAGATAATTTGAAAAAGAAGCATGAAACATTTCATTATTTTCATCATTTTCAAAAATCTGCTAATAAAGAGAAATTCGATATGAAATTCTATAATTCATGTTCGAAATTCATATAATATCATAATTGAGATAGAATATAATGGAAAATTTTGTAAATTTTAAAAACGGAAAAATCAAATTAATCAAATTAATAAATAATATTTCTAGCAGGTTTCAAATAACTCGAAAAAAGATAATCACATTACCTTTAAACGCACTATCTAAAGCCTTTATCTTGTGTATTTGTTTCATTTTCACCAAAGTTTAACCTGGGCTTGGAACTTATTATATAAAAACCTGGTTTTTGGATTTTTAGTTTGGAATCTACAGGTTTTAAAGCTTAAACCAAATCTAAGTTACCTTTATCGTCCCTAAACTTGCATAAATTATAAATTACCTTTACTACTTAATTTTACATGTTCAGTATTGCAGTATTGATAGGTACATTAAGATATTCAATACATCGACCACGTGTTATTTCAGTGCATTTAGCAATATACCTATAATAGGAGAAACGAATATTTTAAAAATAATTTAAAATTTAGTGATTATTCCTTAAATGGATACATACTAGTGATATGGGACGATGGCAAATCCTCGGGCTGACCCAGCCGCCAAAATTACTCAGGCAGGTCGACCGGACCGATTATATTGTTAAAATTTTTCAACTAAAATTGCAAAATAGTCATATTTTCGATATCGCAAATATGAAATTAAGTTACAATACTTGCGCACTATTCAATACTAGAATATCGCATCTAGGGGGATTCTACACATGATTTAATAATTAATTATAAGTTATATTGGACGAAAAAATTTATTATACCTCAGCTGGAACAGACCACAGAAATATAGGTCAAGTGCCGACTCATCCACCCTGCTGACAAGCCATGTCAGCGTCTCACCAGAAAATCAGTAAAATCTCTCCTTTATTTATTCAATAAGAGCCCACATATATGAATTTAGCCTTGAGTTTCAAAACACAACGATCTGTGATTTTGGATCCTAGTAAATGGAAAAATAAATGATTTATATAAATTAGGTTCGTATGTAGCGTGAAATTAATTTAAATTAATTGAGAGTAGATTTAATTTGTTACAGAAAAAGAAAATTTAAGAGGTGCGGAACGGCAAAAATATTGGTGTGAATTTCTGTTGAAAAAAATTTTCTTTACCTTAACCCATTATGTTGTGGATCGACTCTTGCCACCCGGCCAATGGGCCGGAATCAGCTAATATTACTAATACATACTTTCCTTCCGATGGATTTTCAAATAAAGTCTTAAGTATCATTTCCACGTCTTTACGATTTGCTTCTATAGTAATTAACTTGTACATAAGCTTATGATAATATCCTGAATAAATAGAATTATAAAATCAACATAAATAGAATTATAAAATCAATAAAATTTTAATATTTACGTGTTGTAAACACAATTTTCGCGATCAATTTCTACAGTACTGTAAGGGAACGTCGCACAATGCACGTGCAGTGTAACGCACATATCGGAGATTTGCAGAACGATCGTATATCACGTG